ACTTCCGTGCCTTGTCGCAATGCTCGTCACTTGGTTCCGCCGGGCGTTTCGGAGGGTCTCTCCGCGGCGCTCGTCCCGCTTTAAAACACTTCGCGCACACAACTGGGTTGTTTCGCTTGAAATAATTCTTCTTCTGGTCTTTCGACAAATGGCCCCCGTCTGAAAACGCTGGTTTCTTCCCGTCCCCGTTCGGTGGGCACGCGGAGCATTCAAACTTTTTCGCCCCCGTGCGCGCATCGTGACACGCGCGGCACACGACTGGGCGATGCGCCTGGCCCGTCTTCCTATAATGTACTTTCTGGTTATCGGACAAATGGCTCAAGTCTGTGAACGCGGGCGCCTTCCCATCCGCCCCCGTCGGGCATGCTCCACAACGGAAAATCTGGGCCTCCGATTTTTCGTGGCACGCGCGGCACATGACCGGGCGATGCGTTTGGCCCGTTCTCCTGTAATGTTCTTTCTGACTGTCCGATAAATGGCTCACGTCTGTAAACGCGGGCGCCTTCCCATCCGCCCCCTTCGGGCATGCCCCACAACGGAAAACCTGGGCCTCCGACTTTTCCAGGCACGCGTGGCACATGACAGGGCGATGCGCCGTGCCCGTGTCCCAATAATGCCTTTTCTGACTCACCGTCAAATGGCGTGTGTCCATGATTTCGGGTCCCTTTCCATCCGCCCCCTTCGGGCATGCGGAGCACCGTAGCACCCGCGACTTCTCGTGCTCCTCCTGGCATGATCGGCACATCACTGGTCTATGGCCTGCGCCCGTTTTGTAGTACTTCTGCAGTTGATCCGGCGTCAAATGTCGTGTGTCTGTGAACGTCCCCCCTGTTCCATCCGCTTCTGACGGACACGCAGAACATTTCAGCGGCTTCTGTTGGCGCGCAGCTCGTCGCGCAGCGTTCATCTCGTTCTCGCACTCTCTTTCCTTCTGCGATTTGCTCCACTTGTTCCACCCGCCTTTTCTTTTCCCCGCGCACTTCTTGCAGAGCTTCTCTCCCGCGCTTTTCGTCGCATACTGGTTCGCCGCAATTTCTGCCTCCGTTTTCAGGAATTCCAGGCATTCACCGCATCGAATCTTAAACTTCTCCTGCACCTGCCCCCGCCACGCCTCCGATGTCTTCCGTGACTTCCGTGCGGCGGCGGGCCCTGCGCACCGGTCGCATTTGCTTGTCCGCACGAACACTCTATTCCTTTCGACCCCCCCTCCCGCCACTGTGGACGCCATCTCAGCCCATTGCTCACAAGTCGTGCACCACTTTTCTCCTGCCCCCTTCAAATTCTCCATGCAGTCGCAGCAGAAGCTCGGGCCCGACTTCGCGGCGAACTCATTCGTCGTGAATCCGCCGACCCCTTGGGGTCATGGGCGTGTGAGATGCTTCCCCCTCCCCAAACCCCTCCCCCAGGAGCCCGGTCCGGTCGTTTTGGAGGGGGGGGGGGTCCGGCCGGATGCGCCGGATCCCCCGGGGGGGTCAAGACGCTGCTACGAGGCGCCCAGGACAGCCCAAGAGGGCGAAGGGCCCAAGAGGCTCCAAAGACGGCCCACAACGACTCACACTAGGAAGTGGATCGTTCGACCCCATCTGAAGAAGAAAGAGGAGGGCCCCAACGACTCTCCTGGTACCACTCGTTCGGGACATTCAAGACTCCAGCCCCCCTGGCGGACGAATTGGAAGGAAGAGAAGGGAGAGGAGGAAGAGGAGGAGACGAAAAGAGAGGAGGAGGAAGAGGAGGAGAAGAGGAGCGCTCCAACGTCGGACTCCCCAAGAATACGAGGGGTCGACGGTGTGGCGTAAGCCCGAGAAGCTCGATTGAACGCCGCGCACCTTCAGTTTATTGACAACTGGCATAGCTGATTAACAGGAGGCTCCCAAGACGCCCCCAAGAAGCCCCAAAAGGCCTCCAGGAGGGCCCCACAAGGCCCCAGAACGGCTCCCAAGAGGCTTCGAAACTGTCCCACGAGAAGCCCCCCAAGAGATCCCGTTACACACGCAAGAAAGCTCTAACCCATGACCCAGAGGCCCATCTCAGTGTCCCCTCCTCCCCCTCCTTCTCCTCCACTTCCTCCTCGTCCCCCTCCTCCTTTTCCTGTCCGCTTCACCTCATCCTCTTCGATGTTTCTCCCCGCCATCCTCCGCCACCCCCCCCATCCTCTTCTCCCCCTCCTCCTTTTCCTCCCCAGTACGCGCGTCCGATTGGACATCATTTGCATGTCTTGCATTTCAGGGTGCCCTTCTTTGCGTCGCAGTGTGAACGCGACGTCGTCCCGCATTGCCGTCCAGGGCCCAGAGGCTCCCAAGACGTCCCCAAAAGGGCGCCAAGACGACCCACGAGGCGCCCAAGTCCATGGGCTCGCTCCGGAGCTCCAAAACGACCCCTGAGACCTCCCAAGAAGGCCCACAGGCAATCCAAGAGGACCCCGACGCGCCAGAGAAAGGAAGAAGAACCAAAAAAAAAAATGATCGACCAAGATGACATCCAGACCACTCATGAACCCCTCCGGCCGCCTCACAGAGCCTCCAACAGAGCCCCTCCCAAAACCGGCGATCGCCCCAGAAAAAAAAACAAGGGGTCGGCGGATGTGGCGTAAGCTTGAAGAATCATGTTGATCCGTGACGTTGGAATCCCGAGAACAATGTGTTGGCATGCTTCAGGGTCTTCACACGGTTGTCTTCCAACGCGGTTGTTCCCTCCATGGAGATGAACCGTTGTAGGGGCCTGTGAAGGGGACGCTTTGGGGGTGGTTTATTCCAACATCGTTGATGGCTCTTAGGTTTACACTGGTCCTCCTCCTCCTCCTCCTCCTCCCACTGCCCCCCTCCCCCCCCCCCTTGGGGGAGAGAAGGGCAGGATCCAGGGGGGTAGGGGAAGCGGGACGCGCGACGGGAGCCGAGGCGGGAGGACGGGAAGGAGAGCAATGATGGTGCAGGAGGGGGAGTCGAGCAGGCCCTCGGAGGCCGCCTCGTGCTCCCCACCTTGGACCGAGCCGCGGTCTTCGCTGCTCTGTCCTCGGAGGCTCGACCCGTCGTCCCTCTTCGCTGTGCAGCGAGCCGTGTCTGGGTGCTCGTCGGGGTGGCTGTGCCGATCTTGCACGGCGCGGTCACGCTGCAGGCGGTGGGCCGTGCCCCCCGACGCCACGGGCCGTACACCTTAGGCGATGCTTAAGAAAACTTAAATTTTCGGCCAGAGTCTCGATTATTCTTAATGTTTCAGTGTAAATCCTGAGATTTGAATCGAAATTGTGGGTTTTTATTCAAGTTCTGAGACTATGAATTTCTTAATCCATGATTTCTTAAGCATTTCGCAGGGTGTATGCCAGATTGGCCCGACAGCATGCCGACGACAGCCAAAGGGGAAGGGAGCCGCGCGCAAGGAACCCGCGAGACCGTGCCTCCTGTGGCGGCGCCGTCGGGGCGCCGTGCGGCGGGGCGGCGAGCGGGCAGGAGCAGCACAAGAGCGCGGGCGACACGGGGCGTGGGGGCAGCGGGCGGCGGCGGCGGGCGCGGGGGGTCGCGGCAGGCGGCGGTCGGGGGCAGGGGCAAGAGGAGGGCGCTCAGGAGGGTGCGGATGATGGCAATGGTGCTGATGACGACCACGCCGGGGTTCGTGTCGCAGCGGGTTCGGCGGAGGTGTCTGATACCGCGTGGATCGTTGCACCTTGAACGGTTAGCGGCTTTTCGATCGCTACTTCGTTGCATCTTGGCCGATTCTGTGCCACTGGCGGCGTTCAACCTTGAACACCCGCGGCGGGGTCGCGGCCACATCGGCACGACACGAACCTACCGTATGCTGGTGGTGTTGTTAATAATATTGACGGAGGATACGATACGACACAAATACAAATGGGGCCTCTTCGCATGGTGTTATGACCTACGAGCAGCTTTCGCAGAGAAGCTGCGATACGGAGGCTGGGGGATCCCAGCGTAAGGAAATATAGCAAGCTTGATAGTACAACAACTACAGCCCTATGCGGCTAACGTGACCACGCTCTTTACGCTTCGGTAAGCGGTCCTGCATGACATAGATTGGAAGGCGGGGAGGGAGGGACGGAGGGAGGGAAGGAGGGAGAAGGAGGAGGAGGAGGAGGTGGAAGAGCCAGGAGGACCATGAGGGGAAAGGAGGCGGGAGGAGGACGAGTAGGGAGGAGGGAAGAGGGAGAAGGGAGGAGGAGGAGGAGGGGAGGAGGAGGGGAGGAGGAGGAGGAGGAGTAGGAGGAGGAGAGAGGAGGAGGAGGAGGAGGAGAGGAGGGAGGACGAGGGAGGAGGAGAGGAGGAGGAGGAGGAGGGAGGAGGAGGGAGGAGGAGGGAGGAGGGAAGAGAGGGAAGAGAAAGACACGATGGGGAGGCCGACGAGTCTATGCCCGACTGGAAGAGGCGCGGCCCTCCCTGGCCGACCCCCGACACACAGGGGCGGGGATGTCCCGCAGCGGGCGACAAGCCAAAGGGCTCCGCCCGCGCCATGACCGTGCGAGGAACGCCCGCGAAGCACAACTCCTGAGGGAAGAAGAGGCACCGATGCCGCTATCCTGGCCCCGGTTTCGCTTTTTCTGGGCCTAACGGGATGGCTGCATCCGCCTCGAAATCCTGGTCAGAACGCACCCCCGGGAGAGGTCCGGGCAGTGGCGGTATGGGTACCTGTTGGTTTCCCCAGCTTCGAGCGCACCGTGCGCAGCCCCAGCGAGCACAGCTACCCGAGCTACGTACAGGTGCTACGAGAGCCATGCTGGCGCTCGCCCGAGGCCGAGCTCTGCAGGGGTGGCCTCCAACGCCCCCCGGCACGGGCTGGCTCTTGGTTGTGGGTGCCTCACGTGGACCGAAGGCAATGAATCTCCAGCCGTCCCCCCCTCCTACCCCCCCTCCTCCTCCTCCTCCTCCTGCTCCTCCTCCTCCTACTCCTTCTCCTCCTCCTCCTCTTCCTCCTTCTCCTCCTCCTCCTCCTCCTCCTCCTCCTCCTCCTCCTCCTCCTCCTCCTTGAAGAGAGACAACGCGTGAATGGCCTCTTCACCCTGGGCGCCAAAGACGGGTCCCGCGGGGGCCTCCGCGCACGCGGGGCAATCCAGATTGCAGCGATGAGCAACAGAGGAGGACATGCAACGGACGTCTCCTGCCTGTCACATGGGTGAGGAAGGAGACAAGGGGTTATACAATGGACGTCAACCGATGGATATCCACAACAAGGCAACTCGATAGATGGTGGCATCCGATCTGAAGCGTTCTCCGTGTCCACCTTGCACGGAAAGACAACATGATATACATCTATGGGAGCGCGCAGGACTTGGGCCAGGACCAATGGACACCCACCTGAGACGCAAGACAATGGAACATCGGTAACGAATTCGCACGCTCCTGGGTGGGGCGGGGCTATCCAGATCCCATCGGCCATGAATGGACGATGTGGGGGATCGACGCATCCCCCCCTGAGTCTAACCCCTCCGAACGACGCTCTCTGGTTTTCGGGTCCTCCGCCACCGTGCTTCTTGGGCGCGGAGTGGGCGCCTCCTCAAGGCCCCCGACCCTGAATTGTCAAATTTGGCGGGGATTGCCGCGTGCCCTCGGGGCTCTTCCGCGGCTTCCCAAATGATGTCTCTCAGGCCCACGAATGCCCCAAGACGGGCCAACATGGCCCCAAGAGGCCCCGAAGATTGTCCAAGAGGGCCCGGAATCGCCGAAAGATCGGTCCAAGACGCTCAAGATGGCCCAAGAGGCCTCCAAGACGCCCCAAGAGGCCTCCAAAGAGGGTCCCAAGAAGCAGAAACAATTTACGTTCCGTCGTTTTTTGTTTGTTATTGGCTTTCTCCCCATTTCGGCTTCCCGAGGCTCTAAGACGGCCCGAGAAGCCCCAAAGATCACCCCAAGACGGCCCAATACGCATCCAAAAAGGACCCCAAACGGCCCAAGAGGGCCCCAAAACGGCACAAGGGGCGCCCAAGACGGCCCAAGAGGGTCCCAAGACGACCCCAGAAGGGGCCCAAGAGAGGGAGCACGCATCGAAAATACAACCCTTCAGGCCCAAGAGGCCCCCAGGGCGGCCCCAGAAGCGCCCAGGAGGCCCCAAGAGGCCCCCAAGAGGCCCAAAAGAGACCCCAAGAGGCCCCAAGGGGCCCCAAAGATGCCCCAAGAAGCTTCAAAACTGCCCCCAAGCACAAAACTGCCTCCAATAGGCATCCGAGAGGCCCCCCACGAGATCCCAACGCACACAACATGCTTCATACCCACAACCCAGGCACGGTGGCGGGATGCGCCGAAAGCCATTCGACCTGGGCCGGCACGGAAACGGAAAGAGCTCCTCAGGAACTTGCCCGAGATGGCTCATGGTATCCTTCGCTCTTGGGAGCCCTGGTGTGAAGAGCTAGTTACGTCGCCTCTCTCCGTTGGGAGCCCTGGTCTTCAAAGACTTTTACGTTGCCGCTCGCTCTTGGGAGCCTTGGTGAGACGAGCTTTGTACGTCACGGCGCTCTGGGGAGCCTTGTTGTCAAGAGCTTGTTACGTCACCGGTCGCTGATGGGAGCCATGGTGTTCTTGAGCGTCTCGTGGGCCTCGGGCACTTGTGGAGCCCTTTTGGGGGCCCTTTTGGAACAATTCTGGGCCGTCTTGGGGCCCTTTTGGGTTGTCTTGAGGCGTCTTAGAGGCCTTTGGCAGTCTTGGGGCTCTCTGGGGGGCCTCTTGGGGTCCTCTTGGGAGCCTCTTTGGACCCTCTTGGGGCTCATTTGGGGCCCTCTTGGGGCTCTCTTGGGACCGTCTTGGGGCCATCTGGGGCTGTCTTGGGGCCCTCTTGGGCAGGCTGGGGGCCCTCTCGGACCGCTTTCCGCTTCTTTGGGGGGCCTATGGGGCCGTCTTGGGTCGATCTTTAGGACCTCATGGGCAGTGTTGGGCCCGTCTGGGCCTGAAAAAACAATAACCCGAGAAACCTGCAAAGCCATCGGGATATCAATGTTTTCAAGCTCCTGAGGCCTTCTCGAAGGCCCTCTGGAGGGTCTCTGGAGCCGTCTCGAAGCTTTCTTGGACCGCCTGGAGGCCACCTGGAGCTCTCTTGGGGCCGTCCTCGGGTAGTTTTGGTGCACTCTTGGGCCGTCTTGGGGCCCTTGAGCCGCTTCGCGCGAAAAGATATGAGGAAACAGGCCGTGGAAGGCGCCCGCGAGCTGCGTCACTCGAAAAAATACTGGGGAAACGGCCCCCCGGCGGCCATTAACACTCAAACGTGCGGCCCCTCCCCTAGATCCTCTCCCTAAAGGGCTTCGCCCCACACAAGAACGTCATCACTCGAATCTCGCTCTTTCGTTACCTGGGCCGGCACGGAAACGTAAAGAGAGGACCAAAAATTTGCCCGAGATTGCTCACGGCACCCTTCGCTCTTGGGAACCTTAGTGGTAAGAGCTTGTTACGTCACCGCTCGCTCGTGGGAGCCTTGGTGTTCAGAGACGTTTATGTTGCCGCTTGCTCTTGGAAGCCTTGGTGTTGAGAGTTGTTTACGTCACCGTTCGCTCTTGGGAGCCTTGGCGTTACGAGTTTGTCACGTCACCGTTCGCTGTTGGGAGCCTCGGTGTGAAAAGCTTGTTGCGTTAGTGATCGCTCTTTTATTTGATGTCTATGGGCCTTCTTGAGGAGCTTTTTAGGGACCTTCTGGGTTGGGGCAATTCTGGGCCGTCGTGGAGCCCTTTGGGCCAGTCTTGGGGCGTCTTGGAGGCCCTGGACCGTCTTGGGGCTCTCTTGGGAGCCTCTTGGGGCCCTCTCGGGAGTCTCTTGGGGGCCTCTTGGAGCTCTCCTGGGGCCGTCTTGGGGCCCCTATTGGGGCCCGGACCGTTTGGGGGCCCTCTTGGGCCGTCTTGGGGCCCTCTTGGGCCGTCTTGGGGCCCTCTTGGGCTGTTATGGGGCCTTGGGCGTTGTGTGGGTCCTCTAGGGGCGATGTTGGGGGCCTCTTGGCCCGTCTTGGATAACGTAACAACAGAAAAGGCGGATATGCTGAACAAGTTTCGCCATCGGAATGTGACACTTTTAGCCTCTGTGGAGTCCTCTTGGAACCCTCTTGGACCGTCTTGGGGCCATCTTAGGGTGTCCTGGGGGCCTCGTGGACCGTCTTGGAACAAATTTAGGTTGTCTTGGGGCGCTCTCGGGCCGTCCTGGGGCGTCTTGGGGGTGTCTTGGCCTGTCTTGGGCGCTTCTTGAGCCGTCTTGGCTTCCTCGGGGACCCCAAAAGGCCATTAGAGCTCGGGTTGGCGCGCCTCGCCCCTCCCCTGGAACCACGCCCTTACAAGCTTTGCCCCGTCAAATAAAGTACATCACTCGTACCTCGCTCTTTCCGTCACCTGCTTAACACGGGGACGGAAAATGCATCTACGTTCAGAGAAGATCGCTGGCTTGCCCGTTCTGCCTCCTCTTCTTTTTCCTCTCCCCTCCAGCTCCTCATCCTCCAGCTCCTCCAGCTCCTCCTCCTCCTCCTCCTCCTCGCTCCTCCTCGCTCCTCCTCCTCCTCCTCCTCCTCCTCGCTCCTCCTCCTCGCTGCTCCTCCCTCGCTGCTCCTGCTCCTGCTGCTGCTGCTGCTGCTTGTGTTCCTCCTCCTCCTCCTCCTGCTCCTCCAGCTCCTCCAACACCTCCTCGCTCCTCCTCCTCCTCCTCCTCCTCCTCGCTCCTCCTCCTCCTCCTCCTCCTCCTCCTCCTCCTCGCTCCTCCTCTTGCTCTCCTCCTCCTCCTCCTTCCTCTGCTCCTCCTCCTCGCTCCTCTCCTCGCTCCTCCTCCTCGCCGCTCCACTCGCTCCTGCTCCTGCTGCTGCTGCTGTCCGTGCTCCTCCTCCTCCTCCTCCTCCTCCTCCTCCTCCTCCTCCTCCGGCTCCCTCCTCCTCCTCCTGTTCCTCCTCCTCCTCGTTCTCCACCACCACCACCACCATCATTATAGTCGTCAGAATCATCATCATCATCATCATCATCATCATCATCATCATCATCATCATCATCATCATCATCATCATCATCACCATCATCATCATCATCATCATCATCATCATCATCATCACATCATCATCATCATCATCATCGTCATCATCAGCATCATCAGCATCATCATCGTCATCATCAGCAGCATCAGCATCATCATCATCATCAGCATAATCATCATCATCGTCATCAGCATCATCATCATCATCAGCAGCATCATCATCATCATCACCATCATCAGCATCATCATCATCATCAGCATCAGTATCAGCATCAGTAGCACCATCATCATCATCATCATCAGCATCAGCATCGTCATGATCATCAGCATCGTCATCATAATAATCAGCATCATCATCATAATCAGCATCATCATCATCATCATCATCATCATCATCATCGTCATCGTCATCAGCATCATCCTCACCATCATCCTCATCAACATCATCATCATTATCATCAGCATCCTCATACGCATAATCAGAATCATCATCATCATCATCGCCATCATGATCAGCACCATCATCAACATCATCAACAGCATCATCTTTAACACCACCAGCATCAGTATCAGCATCAGCATCATCATCAGCATCAGCATCATTATCAGCAGCATCAACATCAACAGCATCAGCAACATCATCCTCAAGATCATTATCATCATCCGCATCATCAGTAGCACCAGCATCACCATGATCATGGTCATGATCATGATAATCGTCATCACCATACTCATAATAGACATCAGCATCATCATCACAAGTATCATCAGCCTCATCATCATCAGCATCATCAGCATCATCATCATACTATTCATCGAGATCATCATTAAAATCAGCATCATCAGCGTCACCATCATCACCAGCATCATCAGAATCGTCAACATCACCATCAGCAGCATCAGCATCAACATCACCATAATCACCATCAGCACGATCATCACCATCAGCATCATCAACAAAATCGTCATCATCATCATCATCAGCAACATCATCAACATTATCATCATCGTCATCAAAATCACCGTCATCATCAACATACTCATCTTCATCTTCAACCTCATCATCCTCACCATCGTTATCTGCCTCTCCCTCACTCTTCATCCTCCTCCTCGTTTTTCCTCGCTCCTCTTCAGCCTCCTCGGCCTCCTCCATCGCTCTCCCTCCTTTTCCTTATCCTCTTCGCTGCTCCTCCTCGTCGTCCTCCTCGCTCCTTGCTCATCGCTCCTCGCACCTCGCGCCTCGCTCCTCGCTCCTCCTCTTCGATTCTTGCTCCGGCTCCTCGTTCGTCCTCGCTCGTCGTCGCTGCTCCTCGCTGATCCTCGCTCCTGCTGCCGCTGCTGTTTTTCTTCTTCCTCCTCATCCTCCTCCTCCTCCTCCTTCTCCTCCTCCGACTCCCTCCTCCTCATCGCTCGTCCTCCTCCTGCTCCTCCTCCGACTCGCTCCTCTCGTCCTGCTCCTTCTCTTTATCTTCCTCGCTCCTCCTCCTCGCTCTTCGCGCCTCGCTCCTCGCTCCTCCTCGTCATCCTCGTTTTCCTCCTCGTCCATCGCTCCTCGCCGTTCGCTCCTCCCCCTCCTGGCTCCTCGTTTCTCGCTCATCGACCAGTCCCCTCCTCCTCATTCTCTTCCTCCTCCTCCTCCTCCTCGCTCATCGTTCCTCCTCCTCCTCCGCCTCCTCCTCCACCTCCTTCTCCTCCAGCTCCTCGCAGCTCGCTCCACGCTCCTGCCTCCTCGCTCGGCGCTCCTCCGCCTCCCCGCGTTCCTCCTCCTCCTCCTCCTCCTCCTCCTGCTCCTCCTCCCCCTCCCCTCCTCCTCCTCCTCCTCCTCCTCCTCCCCCTCAACCTCCTCCTCCTCCTCCTCCTCCTCCTCCTCCCCCTCCTCCTCTCTCCTCCTCCTCCTCCTCCTCCTCCTCCTCCTCCTCCTCCTCCTCCTAATCCTCCTCCGCGCTCGCTCTATCTCGTCCTTCTCGTCCTTCTCCTCCTCCTCCTCCTCCTCCTCCTCCTCCTCCTCCGCCTGATCCTCGTGATCTCCCTCCTCCGTCTCGCTTGTCGGTCCGTCGATCCACTCTGATCGTTCATCGCTCCTCGCTCCTCGTTATTTCCTTTCTCCCCCGCCTCCTCGCTCCTCGCGCCTCGCTCCTCGCTCCAGGATGCTCGCTCCATCCCCTCCTCCTCCTCCTCCTCATCATCCTCCTCTTCCTCCTCCTCCACCTCCTCCTCCTCCTCCTCACCATCCTCATCCTCCTAATCCTGATGCTCATCCCCTTCGTCCTCCATGTTTTACGAACACAACCTCCGAACGAACCACTTTGAGCATGCCAACAAGCGCGACTGCATGCCGAATACATCGACGGCCACGCGTTGGCGCGAGAAGATGCAACGACTTTGGCATCATTTTGGGGAGCTCTCTGAAAAGGCTTGACAGAGTCAGCCTCGCTGCGGAAGACTATTGAAAACACGATCCATGCTGAAACCAATTGCTGTAGCATTGTGTGGTGGCCCGGTTCACTGGGATCTTTCAAAACTCTGCTGTGGAAGCGCCGGTTTGCGGTGAAACCGTGCCGTTCGAGATGCCCAGGGACCGGGGACCGGGGGGAACAAGGAAGAGAGAGCACGAGGAGCACTGCAGCGTGAAACTTGAAAGAGAAGGCCGACAATAGAAATGTCTCGCCTCATACTCAGAGGAGCCAAGTTGAACTCGCAGAGCGCTGCCTCATCTGTCAAGGACACCAAGTCAAGAAATACAATCTGGATGTCATCGATCATTTTCAAGACCGTGTCTGTGGCGTGGAAGAACGCGCTGGTTGCCTCCTCGATGGAAGATAACACGTGGCACTTGTAAAAGGAGGACCATGTCCCAAATAGTGTACAAGCGACCAGTCCGGAGCAGCGCCTTCAACCTCCATGATGCCTCTGTAGACAGCTTCTGGGCAGCGTAGAACATTGATAACTTGGGATCAAGCAGGACACCCAATATATTGAAACTGCCCCTGTAAAGGCGGAGCATGTCTAAGAAGTGTGTGCTGTCTTTCTCGGCTCGAAGACTTCTTGGTTCGCAGCCCCCCCCCATGTGAGGCGATGTTTGACATGTGTGGCACGCTTGAAAAGTCTATGTTGTTCGACGTATTATTCAACATTGTCCAGCAAATCAAATCGTCTGCACAGAACATATTCCTCGAAGCCGGTGTTCGAACTCGATTCTCTAGCATCTGCAGAACGAATACATGACAGAAATGCGGACCGAGAACTGTGCCTTGGAAGACAATGCCCCCCAGCCAGAAGAGGGTTCGAGAACACGCTCCTCCTCCACCTCCTCCTCGTCCTTGCTCATCGCTTCTCGCTCACCGCTCCTCCGCCACCTATTCCTCTTCCTCCTGTTCCTCCTCCGCCTTCCAGTCCTCGCAGCTCGCTCCACGTTCCCCACTTGCTCCTCCATCTCCTCTTCCTCTTCTTCCTCCTCCTCGTCCTTCTCCTCCCCCGCCTCGTCGCTACTCGAGCCTCGCTCCTCCTGCTCCTCCTCCTCATCATCCACTTTATCCTCATCCTGATCCTCGTCCTCCTCCTCCTCCTCTTTCCTGGCTACCCCTCGCCCCCCTCCTACTCCTCCCCCTCCTCCACCTTCTCCTCCTCCTCTCCTCCTCCTCGTCTTCCTCCTCATCGTCCTGATCGCTCCTCCTCCTCCTCCTTCTCTGGGCGCTGGTAAACGCTATTTGATCGCCGATATACATTAAATCCAAGACAAGCGGAAGCTTCCGTGATTTGCGACCACCACCCTCCCACCCTCAGATCAGCAAGAAAACACCACATGACCTCAGCGAAGCACCCTACTGGCAGCAAAAGATGGAGCGGCGGGCCGAGGAGTAGGATCGATGGATATACGGGGGACAGGGGCGAGGGCACGGCCATGCGCACTGCAAAACGTGTCTCACGAAAGATCGTGGCCGTCCAGACCAAAGAGGTCGCCCGGCACTCACGCGAGAACACGACTCCTGAAACAAAGTCGTGAGGAGTCTCGGGCGAAACACGGCTGACAGACTGGGCGATCTCGGCGGGGCGGTCCCGAGCTCCCCGTCCCCCCTGTGGGACGCCTCTGTAATCCTTTTCTCTACCTATAGTAGAATCCCCCAGCGAAGCGCTATGAGAATAAGAACACAAACTCTGGAAACTCACCACGGTTTTCTTGGATCTGCGCTGAACCCTCCTCCCTTCTGCTCGGAATGCGCCAGTGGAGGCGCCGGAAGGGCCGCCAGGGGGGACCAGAGCGGATACAAGAAATCAGCGCGGAACTCCGAAAAAGATAAACGTATGCACTTGATGTGGCTCTTCGACTCCTGCCTCCATATCCCGCTCTCCCGCCCGGTCCAAATCCGCTCAAAATCTGTCCCTGGACCCCTCCCGGCGTCCATCCTGATATGTTCTCTAATGCGGATCCAGCCGTGGCGACGAGACGGGCCTCCAGGATGCCCAAAAGGATTCAAAATTGCCATCAGCGCCACCGCGACTGACCGCCCTCCCTCCCTGCTCAAGGGAACAGACAATGGCATAAACATTAAGATTCGGAGGTCCGCGCAGATTCCTCGGAACGGCGTTGGGGCCTTCTGGCGGCGCTTCCAGCGGTGCCGCTCCGCGCGCCAGGGTGGTCCAGCGCCGATCCGAAAGATCCGCACGAAGCTCCGATAGTTTGTTGTATGTCATTGCTCGTTCCCCGACTGCCTCCCTCCCACCCTCCCACCCCCGCAGGTACGCCCAATGCCGACGGTGCTGGGACCGCCGCCAGCGGCGGCGCAAAGGCTGGCGGCGGGATCGGCCTCTGCGCGCGCTGCAGGTGCCTCGCGAGCGCAAGGGGGGGATAGCAAGGGGAGGAGGAGGAGGAAGAGGAGGAGGACGGGGAAAGGGGGGAGGGGGAGGAGGAGGAGGAGGATTCGGTGGCAACTCATGGGAACTTCCATACCATCTTCCTTGTCCTCGTAAACCGGCATTGGGTAGGTTAGTTCCGCTCTAATTTCTGCGAACCAAAACGTCGCCAGGAAAACCAGGAACCTCACACGAGCCGACCTGCGATAAGCACACTCCTGCGGTGGCCCTTGGCCTGAAAGTAAAGGCCAACGTGCCGCATGACAATACCATTCTGGCCACAAGAGCCAACAGTATTGCAGACACGCAATTCGACGAGAGGGAGGGAAGGGGGGAGAAGGAGGACAAGAGGAACGGGGAAGAGAAAGACCATGCCCATGCACTCGGAAAACCTCCACGAACGCATCCCCACTCGGAGCGAATCAAGAAAGTCATCGCGATTTCAAGACGACGCCGTGAACGTCAGAGATGCACGGGCAAGAGAACCGGCGCCGACGTGACGGCAGCCAAATGCCGTGAAACACTTCGAACACCCCCTATGGTCCAAAACTGTGGACAAAACGTGTCAGAAAACTTGTACAAGCACACCCCCTGTCGCCGCGAAGCCCCCTACAAAGGACGACCTGGCAGCAGTAAGCTGAGGAGGGAACGACGCCCAGGGACCAGGACAAGCCCAAGGCCAGGGGAGGGAGGAGAGCGAGCGACGAGGGAAGACACCCAGGAGGAACGGAGAGGGGCGACAGACTGGGCGACTGCCCCGGGGACGAGCGAGAGGGGGCAGCAGGCACAGGAGCGACGCAGGACAGCGGAGGGGGGGGCGACGACGCCACCTGGAGTCCAGACGGGCGGGGGAGCTGAGGCAACATCCCGCTTCTGATAGTTCATCCCCTATAACACATGAGAAACATCACGATTTGTAACAACAGCCGCCTGGGAACGACCTGCCACGTGCACGGCGGGCCTTGTGGCATTCCGTGAAGCGCGTTGCTGTCTCCCGCCATTTTGACGGCCAAGTCGTAGACTTTCCGTTTCCACGTGTCTTTTGGCCGTCCCCTCTCACGGGGCTTTATATCCCTCAACGAGCGAGGAAATACTGTTAAAAAGCGCGCAACCGAACGGGGTTGTCGTTCGGGAGAGCTGCGATCCGACCCAACAGGCGCACCTGTCTGTACGCAAGCGTGGCGCTGAACTTGCAGCATCCGCAGGTCTGCAAAACGGTCGCGTTGCTGACGCGGCTTTAATAGGAGTGGCCGACGCAGGGCATTCTGCACAAGCGCCGCACTTGAAAAGCGTCAAGCTTGCTGCTGTCTGACTCGTTGAGCCACAGCGTATGAAGGCAGTGCATTAATTCAGCGACGACCCAGGCTTCAAATATGACAACCATTTTCTGCAGAGGCAAACGAGCAGGTTGCCAATGTTTGCAGAGTGCGTAAAAAGCGCTGTGTGCCATGCCAATCGTCCTGCTCAGTTCTGCACTGCTGGAGCCCGAAGAATCTAAAAGGCCTCCAAGGCACACCATGCGATCCTTCTCTGGGATCTGCGCGCCGTCGGGCCTGCGAATGTCCGCTTCGTAGCGTACGGGCAGAGCTTCCAACTTATTCCAGTTGAAGGCAAAACCATAACTATGGCCCTTCTGTTGGACAGCTTGCATCAAGGCGCCGGCGAAGTCGGCGGTCGACCTGACCAGCAACATGTCGTCCGCGTAGATGAGCTCGCCGACCGGGAAGCCGTCCGTCGGTTGGAAGCCTTCGTTCTGAAAATATGTTTTTGCGTCATGCATCAGCACGGTCATGACGATCGAGAGGAGGAATGGTGACATCGGGCATCCCAGAGAGATCCCGAACTGTTGCGGACGCTGTTCCGACACAGCTTCGGCGTCGCGGACCCGGAAAAAAACGATCCGTGTAGATCAACCGCGCAATCTCGGCGACGAAGCTGGGCACGCCGAAGCGCGAGAACGCTTGCACCAGGGATTCCGGCGAGACGCAGTCGAAAGCCTTCGCCGTCCAAGGCTAGGAAGACTAACTTTCCCGATTGCGCATCCCCGGCGTCTTCGATCAGTCACCTCGCCACGAACAAAACTTCGTACTCCCCGTGGCCCGATCAAAATCCAAACTGGATTTTCCATATCCTAGACTCCGCGCCAGCGCTTTTCAACCGGTTGAGCAGAACAGACGCGTATAGTTTGCAGACAGCACACAACAATGGAGTAGGGTGGTCGTTTGCGCATTGCGTCGCGTCCCTCTTCTTGAAGATGGCTGCGACGACGGCCTAGTGCCACGCGGGCAACTCGGCACATCCCTGCCTGAGTGAAGGGGTCGTTGGACATGTCGAGATCCGGCCCCTGAGGGTACAAGTTATCCACATTCGTTGTCGGACGCACCACCGGCTGCACTTTGGCGCAATATTCCGCCAACGTCTCTGCTTTCTGGTCGCTGTCTACGAGGCGGCCATTGGAATATTTCATTTTCCCATGGGCTGCGGCTGGATCTTCCTTCAATTTTCTTACCTCGGCCTGGTCGCCGTCGGCTAATCGACAATCGCGCCACGCTGCTCGATCTGCTCTGACCGACGCCTTGATATGCCCGGTCAGTATACTCTCTCGCGCGAAATCCGTGTCTGTCCTCGCTTCACCTCGTAGCGAGATGAACTGCAACGTCCTGCCGCCGATCCAGGGGCGCCGCCGCGCGGTCGGGAACGCGGGCAAGCAGCTTGAAGTGGCATGCCGGAAAGCATCTGTGATATTGCCGTTGAGCTGGTTAAGAGAGTCCTGCGGCGCGCTGCCCTTAACCATGTGTTCCGCGAAGCTGTCGCCGAAGTTCTGAGCCACAGTGACGTCGGCCAGGGCTGCGTGGTCCAACCGCTGCCCCCGCGGTCTCGCGCTTAGCTTCCATGGATATCTCTGGCTTGCAGGTGAGTAGGAGATGGTGCGAAGGTAGGGCTTGTTCTCTGCGGCTCTCCACGTTCACCAAGCTCTGCAGCAGATGCCGCGGGGATAACAGAACATCGATATGCCCGAAATGTCGCGACAGCAACGGATCGGAAGGGCCAGAACCGACGTTGTAGCAAGTCACCTGGTGACCTGGCTCGTGCTCGAAGAACGTGTTTGCGATGGCAAGCCCATGGCAGACGCAGAGTTCGAGTAAAACACTCGGGTTCGAATCTGCACTGAAATGCGGCGTAGGCTCGCCAAACATGGCCAGAATCCAAACAGGAAACCGCCTGTCTCCTTGAGTTGAAACCACCCAATGAAAGAGCCCTGCTGTGTCCTGGCGTTCTGGAGATTATTGCGCCCAACTCTCGATCAAATTCTCTGCGATCCTCCTGCGGTTTCCCGCTGTGGGGGGCATACACGCTGAAGACTGGGATTCTCCCTTCCCGGACATGCAACTTCAAATATGCAATCCTGGAAGATAGCAGGTTGAATCCTGTCAGGCTCTGGCGTGCTCTGTTGAAGACGCAATGAAGCCAATTCCAGCAGTCTCTTCGTCGTCTGGGCACCCAGACAAAATCACCAAGAATCCACGTCAGCGGCGGCAGCGGCAGGGAGAGGGAAGACAAGGAACTGACGAAACGAGCACCTAGCACATGCCGTCCACCTGTCGATCGAGTGGGGCGTCCGACCACTCCGAACAAAAAATAAAAGAACATGTGTTTGTCAAGGTGAGGTTCGGATGCTCTAATCGGCGCGCTCACATACCATCTTGCTGGCTTTTGCGGATCGATGCCATTCGACGCTAAATCGACGCGATTCAATGCCATCCGAGGCTAATCCACGCAACATCGGCACTATCCTATCGACTACCAGACGCAAATCGACGCTGAAGCACTCTAAAGAGGGAGCTACGAGGGAACAATGGGCTCCCATGATTTGCAATCGAAGGAGGCAGAGGAGGACGACAAGGATGAGGAGGAGGAGGACGAAGAGGAGGAGAAGGGGAAGGATGAGGAGGAGGAACAAAGGAGGAGCAATGCTAAGAGGGGCCAATGATAAGGGGGGGGGATTGGCTCAGGGGGGGAAGTTCGGCATCGAGGTTCGAGGTTTCCGGACGTGTCCGTTGGTCCTCGGCGGCCGTCCAGCCTGTGGATGCCTGCCAGCAGCTGCGCCTCCCCGACGGGCGCCTGGCGCTTCTCAGCTCGTCCCGAACGGCGGCCGGAGCCCGAGATACCAGAAACCTCCAGGGGGCCAACTCAGGGGGGGAGCATCGAGCTGGAATCGGCGATACATCGCCGATACATGGCCGACAGGCCCCCGATAGCGAATCCATGGGTGGGGTGGGGCTATCGGGCCACGATCGGCGATCAATGGGCAAGTCGGGGTCGATGCATCCCCTCCTGAGCATATCCCCTCCTAATGTTGCCCCGGAAGGACCCATAGTGGCGATCATCAAAGACGACGATGATGACGACGACGACGATGACGACAGCGACGACGACGACGACGAGTGGCGCCAGGGGGGGGAGAGGCGTAGTGCAGTAGAGGAAGACAGCGGGAACGCCTCATACGAGGCGGGGCGATCTACTGGCATGCCCGAAATCGGAAAAGAAAATGGGACGATGCCCAACAGCGAACGTCGCCCAACATCAACAACGGCCCGTGTTGAGCAAGCGACGCTCGTCCCAAGTGGACAACGTAGGCGGCGGCACCGACAGAAAAACCCTGCCCAGCGTGGGCAAGAACTACTGCCGGTCTTCATCCCCGCTCTGTCCGTCCCCGTTTCGGTCATCCGGAATATGTGCCGCTCGTGCGCGGAAACACTCCGACGTGAGAGACGCACCCAGCCCCATCCGCAGCACGGCCTCAAGATCAGCCAAGCCAAGTACACCGCCGTCGAGGCCGCGCGAGCGAGGGGATCTTTTGAAGCCAGTGCGGCAGAAAAACTCCACGGCGCTCTCGAGGCCGGCGGGTGGCTGGGGGGCAGAGGGCGGCCGAGGGGGGCGAGGCAGGGACGAGAGAGGTGAGATGGAAGGAGAGAGGGAGGTCTTGAGGGGGATCGAGTGAGGGGGGGGAGGTCCAGCGGGCTCTTGACGTTGCAAGGCAAGCCTGGCGGGATCTCATGGGGGGGGGACACCCACAGGAGTGTCCGGGGCGGGGAGGGCAGAGGGAGGAGAAGGAGGAGAAGGATGATGACATGGGGGACCAGGAGGCGGAGAGGAGAGAGGGGGCTTGGGAGGGGCCCAGAGGGCTCTTGCGCCCTCTTGCGGGCTCCAGACGATGTTTGCCAGCATCTCGGGAAGTGCACACCGGTCCAGGGGGGGAAGGCCAGGCCAAGATCAGAAACTCAAGGGACGAGGGGGAGGGGGCGAGGAGGGAAGCGGGAGAATGAGAGAGAGAGGACGAGGATGAGGAGTGACCATTGAGGACCGAGGGAGCGAAAGGAGGAACGGAGGAACGGAGGATGGCATGAGGGAGGAGAAAAGGGAGACGAGGGAGGGGAGCGGGAGGGAGCAGGAACTCCGGCAGGGAGGGAGGGAGGGAGGGTGCGGGTGGCAATGAGGGAGGAGGAAGCTGCGACAAAATGAGGAGCAGGCGCCGGCACGCCCCCCCGCGCGACGCTCACTCCAGGCGCGCCCAGGCTCGGCTCGATCTCGGGCGAGGCCTCCGCCAGGGAGGGCGAGGTGGGGGGGCGGGGGGCTGCCTGCTGGGCTTGGGCCGGACGGAAGGGGGGGGGGGGGATAGCAAAGGGGGCTCCGCGAGCCGGCTCACGCGAGCCGGCTTCCCCAGCGCCTGCAACCGAATCGGGAAAGGCGCCAGGCGGCGGGGGCAGAGCTGGCTGCAGGCAGCAGATGGCATGCAGCCACCTCCTCCTCCTCCTCCACGACCCTCCTTCTCCTCCTCATCGACCCTCCTCCTCCTCATCATCATCATCATCATCCTCTCCATCGTCACCATAAGTATCATACCACCACCACCACAACCACCACCATCACCATCACCATCACCATCATCATCATCATCATCATCATCATCATCATCATCATCACCACCACCACCACCATCATCATCAGCATCAGCATCATCACTATCACCATCATCACCATCACCATCACCATCACCATCATCATCCTCCTCCTCATCATCATCATCATCATTATCCTCATCCTCATCCTCATCCTCATCATCATCCTCATCCTCCTCCTCCTCCTAATCATCACCATCATCATCGCATCAGCATCAGCATCATCAACAGCATCATCATCAGCAGCAGCAGCATCAGCATCAACATCAACAAAATCAGCATCATCATCATCGTCATCGTTATCATCATCACCACCACCATCATCGCCATCGCCATCCCCATCACCATCAACCTTAACCTCAGCATCAGCATCAACATCAGCATCATCAGCACCAGCATCGTCGTTATCATCATCACCATTCATGATCATGCTCATCATGCTCAACATCAGCATCAGCGTCAGCATCAGCATCATCAGCATCATCATCGTTACCATAATCACCATCCTCAGCCTCAGAACCAGCATCAGCATCAGCATCAGCATCATCATCAGCATCATCATCCTCAGCCTCAGAACCATCATCAGCGTCAGCATCATCAGCATGATCATCATCATCCTCATAATCAGATTCTTCATCATCATAATTCGTCGTCGTCACCGTCACCATCCTCCTCATCATCGGCGTCATCATCATAATAATCATCAGCATCACCAACATCGACATCATCATCAGCATCATCAGCAACACCATCATCATCATCGTCATCGTCTCCGTAATTGTCGTCGTCATCGTCAACATCAATATCAGCATCATCGGCGTCATCAGCACCATTGTCAGCATCATCGTCGTCACCGTCATCGTCATCGTCAGCATCATCGGCGTCATCATCCTCATCATCATCATCATCACCATCATCATCACCATCATAATCCGCATCATCACCACCATCAGCATCACATCAGCATCATCAGCATCATCATGATCATCATGATCATGATCATCCTCCTCATCATCATACCCCCCCCCAACAAAAAAAGTTCTCGTCCTCTTCCTATTCCTCTGCATCATCGTCATCCACCTCGTATCCATGCTCCGTCGCGATCCTCCTCTCCCTCGTCATCTTCATCACCCCCCTCCTCCTCCTCCTCCTCGTCCTCCTCCTCCTCCTCCTCTCCCTCGTCGTCTTCATCACCCTCCTCCTCCTTCTCCTCCTCCTGCTTCTCCTGCTTCTCCTCCTCCTCCTCCTCTCCCGGGCCTCGGGCCTCTGCGATCACTCCTCGGGCGCCAGGCCGATCTTCGAGTTCCCGCCGCCGACGCCCTCGCCGATGCGGGCCCCCTGGCGGAAGGCCACGCGCCAGACGTTGAAGAGGGCCCACGAGGCGGCCAACAGCGGCAGCGCCTGCGGGGAGAAAGAGGAGCAGGATCGAAGCGGATCGATGATCAAGGAGGAAGAGGGCCGAGGAGGATCGAGAAGGAGGAGGGTGAGGATCGAGGGGGAGGAGGAGGGAGGAGGAGGAGGGAAGAGAAGGAGGAGGATCGATGAGGAGGAGTATAAGGAAAAAGATGAGGGTCGAGGAGGGTCGAGGAGGGGGGTCGAGAAAGAAGAGGAGGAGGAAGAGGAGGAGGAGGTGGTGTGAAATATACTCTGTATAACGGAGTTCCGGAGGAGTTCGAAAGTTTCTGACATAATTTTGTTGGATGCCCCCTCCCCCTCCCGCACAGGCACAGCAGGCAACATGACAGCATCATGAGGAGAGAGACGGACGATCCGTAATTGTTTAGCTCGAGAGGCCTTTCGCGCAGTCAAAAGGGTTTCGCTTCCCTCACCCCGGCGGGCAGAGCCATAGTTGGGAAGAAGGGCGAGGAGAAGTGGTGCAAGGGGTTTGACACTTCGATTCGATACGGTGGAGGACCTGGAGAGCTTCAATACTGATTGACGTTGGTAGCGTGAGCAGTTGATTCACGGACGAGAACAGCAGCACCCATGGGACCACCGAGCACCAAGGGTGGTGCAGCAACAAGAAAAAGAAAGACGAACAGCGACAACGGCACACACTGTGGCGGCCAGGCACCAGGAGTTCGACGGTACGTTAGATGAACTACGAGACGTTCAGAAAGAAAGTGGAGATCTACGAAGCAAGAGCTCGAGGCGAGGAGAGCGCGAAGCTCATTGGCATGGAGATCATGCAAGGCTTGTGGGGCAAAGCGTGGGACGTCGTCGAGGACATGCCGATAGAAGAGATCGAGAAGGAAAAGGGATGCAATATAATCCAGGAGGCGCTGGACAAGTCGTACAAGTATGACCGGATAGCAGAGCTGCCGACGGAATTTGAGAACTCCTTCTCCAGAGTCGTTCGCAACCCAAAGAAACCGCTGATCGACTACCTGACGAGATACAGGATGGCGGAAAAAAAAATAGACATATATGACGCGGACCTACCAGAGGGAGTGCTGGGTTGGTTCCTCATTCGGCCAGCGGGTCTGGACCGAGGAGGGAGCGCGTTTCACCGGCGCTTGCCTTGGGAACATTCGGCGGCGCATTTCGTACCGGGGGGTGGGCCCCCCCCCCAACACTCGGCGCCGTCGATCAACTGGGGGGCTCCCCTCCCCCCAAACACCCCCTCCTAACCCCCCCCCCCCCACCCCACTCCCAAGGGGGGGGGGCGGGTTTCAAAAACCTCCCCCCCCCCTTCGGCGCTGGCGCCGGCGCCGGCGCTGGCGGAGGCCAGCAGCGCCGACGGCGGGAACGCAGCGACGATGACCAGAGGCAGCCCAAAGGAGGGGGGGGGGTTTGAACCCCCCCCCTGGCGCCGGCGCCGGCGCCGGCGCTGGCGGCGGCCAGCAGCGCCGACGGCGGGGACGTAGCGACGATGACCAGAGGCAGCCCAAGGAGGGGGGGGGGTTCAAACCCCTGCCCCCCGTGGCGCCGGCGCCGGCGCTGGCGGTGGCCAGCAGCGCCGGCGCTGGCGCCGGCGACGGCGGGGACGCAGCGACGATTACCACCACGACCACCACCACCACCAAGACCCACCACCACCACCACCGCGTCAACCCACCACCACCACCGCCAACCCACCACGCAACCACCACCACCACCACCACCACCACAGCCACCACCACCACCACAACCACCACCACCACAACTCACCATCATCACCATCACCACCACAAAATCCCACCACCACTACCACCACCACCACCACCACTCTACCACACCACCACCACCACCACCGCCACAACCACCACCACTACCAGCAGCACAACCAACCACCACCACCACAAACCACCACACCACCACCACCACCGCCACTAACACCACCACCAGCACCACCTCCACAAACCACCGCCACCACCAAGACCCACCACCACCACCACCACCACCATCACCACCACCACCACCACACACCACCACCACACCACCACCACACCACCACCACCAAACCACCACCACCACAACCCACCACCACCACCACCACCACCACCACCACCACCACAAACCACCACCACACCGCCACCACACCACCACCCTCCAATCGACCACAGAACGCGCTCTTTCAGATTTCTAGAAGCCTCCGGAGGTCCGATGACCCCGCGGAGGCATCCTGCGGTCTCTGTCTGGAGGCTCCAGAGGCCCAAACAAAACCAAATGCTACAACCACCTCGATTCTCGATCGATCCTCCCCGATCACCCTCCCCCTCCCCCTCGGTCCTCCTCGATCCCCCTCCCCGACGCCCTCTCCTCCTGCCGGGGCGGGGGAGGGCCAAGACGGCGAGGATGCGCACGTCGAAGCCGTCGTCGTCCTGGGGCGGGCGCAGGCGCGCGGGCAGCGCGAGCCCACGCGGCGCGAGCGCAACAGAAAAGCACGACTGGCGGCTCATGAGGCAACACCTGGTATAGAGTGACAACACACTGCAACACCATGAGCTTTCGGAGGGCCGCGCAAATTTCCTGGATCGGCGGTGGTGACGCGCGCAGCGCGCCAGGAGCGGCGCCACAGGCGCCGCCATGGGGTCCCATCGCAGATCCAAGATATTCGCGTGGAACCCCGACAATGTATGTTTCTCGAAATCCATGCTTATGCTTTGCGTTCGTCTTCAATGGGAGGCCCTCGTAGACACGAGCGTCAGTCTGATTCGGGGCCCCAGCAGCGTGGACTTCGATAACCCTGGGCTCTGGCACACGCGTGAAAAATGCGACGGCGGACCGACTCATCATCGGATCTTCGTCTCCTCCAGGTGACATGGTCAGAATCCGTGTATGCAATACCTCGGTTTCAGAGGCTCTGGCCGAGTCAGGAGATGTTAAGCCGGACTGTCCCCGAGTAGACCATGCAGTAGGCCAAGTCTAAGCTATTAGGCCAGCCCTCGGCCAGGGACAATCCATGGGCGATGTCGATCTCAGCGTCCCCAGGAGTTGCGGCATGGCTCGGCCTCGCCCCGCTTCGACCCTGGAGTCACGTTCGGATCGACCCAGCTCAAAATACACCGCAGATAGATGGCGTCAACCACTCCAGACGCTATTGTTGCTGTTGTGCTGTTCGTTTGACTAAAAAAAGAAGCTATGCCACAACACAGGACTGATCAATGTCCAACAGTGTCGGATCCCTGGATCCTTCGCAAGAGGAGATCGAGAGCGCATTGGCTCCCCAGCGGCCCCAGGGGAAAAACTTCCCGAACGCCACAGGACTGATAGGCCTGGGCGCCGCCAATGCTCTGCACGACAATTCCGGGTCGGTTTCAGCCGAGCTCACGGCGGGCCTTTCTTGTGACGTGATTTTCTGAGGGTCGGGAGCACTTGAGCGTTGGCGGCAAGAGACGCACCTTGACTCCACACATGAGCGATACGGGTATTTACATTCGTTTCCCCAGCCCTCTGTCGGCATCCTTATGTCTCCTCCTCCTCCTCCTCCTCCTCCTCCTCCTTCTCCCCCTCCTCCCTCAGACCAGAGACAAGGCAAGGGGAAAGGTAATGGTGGATTGATGGGGCGCCTGGGTGAGACGAAAGAAGGTCCAGTTGGGTCATGGATCTCATTCTTTGCGTTCGGCCCAATCCCTATCCTCTCACCCCCGCTCTTCCGCACCCCAGCTCATTTCGTTCCTCTCACCCTCCTCCTCCTCCTCCACCCCGTCCTCCGCCATTTGCTCTTCCAGACCCCACTTCCTTCATCTCCTGACTCCAATCCCCTCACCCGTTCCGTCAGGGCCATCCGCTCGCAACCCTCCCCCTGTATCGTCATCCTCCCTCCTTCCTCCTCTTCTCTACCTGGAGAAACCAACACGTACCGATAGCGCTACTCCCCAGAGAGGCGCATCCAGAGGCGGCGGCGAGGGCCGCCCAGGAGGCCGAAAAAGGAGTAAATGAGGGAAGGGTAGCAAATTGGATACCTTCCTCATCCGACCACCCGGCCGGGCTCCAACCCCCCCCTCGTAAAGTCTCGAAGTTGGGCCCTCCCAGGTACCGTGAGCTCGCATGGCCTTTGGCGCGCGGTTTCACGGGGGGCGTGGGGACGCCAGATCCAAGCGCGCAGGCCAGGGCTGGGAGGGACTCCCCTGCGGGCCCGCACCAAGGGTCACTCGGGCCGCGCGTAACCGACTCCTCCCTCCCCGTCGTCGTCGCCTCGTCTCTGATGAGAGAACAACGCGCGCTCAAACCTATAGAGAGCAGGAACCAAGAAAGGCAATGAGATGAACGTTGCTATGGGTATGGGTGCGGACTGTCGGACCCCGAGGGAGGCTCTCCTTCGGGCGGGGACCCCCGTCCGACAGCGCACACCCACAGCTCCAGCGGAATACCACCCCAAGAAATCTAGGGGTCGCGCAGGCATGGGTGCTAGTGGTCTGCTCGTGATCCTCTTCCTCCTCCTCCTCCTCCTCCTCCTCCCTTTCCTCGTTCCTCCACATCCTCTTCCTCCTGCTCCCTCTCTCCCTCCCTCCCGCCCGCCCTCCCTCCCTCCCTCCCGCCCGCCTTCCACCAGCCCGCCCGCCCACCCGCCCGCCCGCCCTCCTTCCCTCCCTCCCTCCCTCCCTTCATCCCTCCCTTCATCCCTCCCCTGTCTCCCTCCTCCTTCTCCGTTTCCTCCTTCTCATCTTTCGCCTCCTCCTCCTCCTCCTCCTCATCATCATCAGCATCATCATCTCATCATCATCATCCTCCTCCTCCTCCTCCTCCTCCTCCTCCTCCTCCTCCTCCTCCTCCCTCCTCCTCCTCCTCCTCCTCTCCTCCTCATCCTCATCATCATCATCATCATCATCATCATCATCATCATCATCATCATCATCATCATCATCATCATCATCATCATCTCCTCCTCCTCCTCTTCTTCCCACCTCCGTCCTCTCTCCTTAACCTCCTCCTGATCCTCTCCTCCTCCTCCTCCTCCTCCTCCTCCTCCTCCTCATCCGTCCTCCTCCTCCTCTGTCGTCCTCCTCCTCCGCCCTCCCTCCTCATGCTCCCTTCCCTTCCGACCTCCATCCTCGAACTCGGTCTCCTCGTCCTGCCACTGCTGCTGCTCCTCCTCCCTCCCCCCCCTCCTCGTCGTCCCCCCCTTCCTCCGCCTGCCGCCGCCGCCGCCTCCTCCGCCTCCTCCTCCTCCTCCTCTTTCTCCTCCTCCTTCCCCTTCCCCGGCCCCGCGGGCGTCCTCGGAGGCGAGGGCCAGCGCCGGCGCTGGCACGGCAGAGGCGGCCGACAGCACCTGGCGGCGAAGAGCGCGGCCCTAGCAGTGGGCAGCCCAGAGCAAGGAGATATTCAGCCAGAGCAAGTGGCCATTGAGCCGGGTTAGGAGGAATTCAGGCGGGGACTGAGCCAGAGTAGGCGGCACCAAGCTGGACAAAGCGAGATTATGCTGGATTAGGCAGCGCTTCGACCACGGATATCCCAACGACGAACCCGAATTGAATCTCTCAAATGGTTCCATCCTAGCCCGTCGGCCCGTGGGTCGCTTTGGACACTCACAGAAACTCCTGGTCGTCCCCATGGCGCCCAATAGCGCGCGAAACGAACGTAATGCATCTCCCTCATATGGCGCAGTAGGGTGCTATTGGGCATGTGTTGGCGCTATTCGGCGCTACTGGGCGCTTTGGGGCGCAATACGCACGATTTTGGGCACTGTCGGCATTCGCCGGTATACAATGCAAGACGAGCGGAACCTCCTGTGACTCGGGGCCTGGATCGTGCGGCGAGCACGAAGGACACGAGTCCTGGAAGGACGCCGCGGACGCCTTTCGCACTCGCGGGCCCTCGGGGCCGTCCACGGGCCCGGGATTGTCAGAAACCGACTCAAAATGAAGAGCTGGTATTCGGGAAGCCCCCAGGTTCTGGGATCCGTTTCCCAGAAGGCCCCTGTTCTTTCGTGGCGAAGTGTGGCAATGTCGATGATCCTCAAAACGAGACGAGTGTTAACGCTAACGTGTGTTTGTCCACCGAAGCCCTTCGGTAAGTTGCATGCTGTGTGAATGCACATCTGCGCGCGTCACAGAGCGTCTCGGCACGCTGGTGGATCGCAGGCGCCGCGTGCGAAGTTAAGTGCGCAATGCGCGGCTGACTCTGATTAGATGCGCGGGAACCAAGCTCTGCCACAGGCCGCGCCAATAACTGACGGAACTGACGGAACCGACGGAATTAACAACGGAAACGTTCCGTCGGCAACGGAAAGTTACGTCGGTTTTTCCGAACGACAGAAAACACAATTCTATTTCTAGGTCAATAAGCACCCTTGCTGAAAGAAAAGACTACATCAATAACGGAAAGTTACGTCGGCAATGCGCATCAGCTGTCGGCGGAGAGGGGCGAGGGGCAGGAACGGGGAAGAGAATGGAGGGGATTCAAGGAGGCGGAGGAAATAAGAGGATACGGACGGGAGGAGGAGCCGAGGGAAATTCTTTGATTAAGGGCAAAAGGCGAGCCGCATCGAAAAGACGACTCTTGCGGGGCCCCGACGAGGCCCCGCAACACTTGCTTCTGCACGCTGATGACTGTCAAGAGCTGCGAGATATCGGCGGAGCCGAGGGAGGATACACACACATTGGGCAAACACACGTTCGGGGGGACCATCGACAGTGGGACGGGCCTGTCCAGCGCGGACTGATCGGGAATGCGTGCATGGGGTGTTGGCCGGTAGAGGATGAGATCTTGACCTGTCTCTGTCGGACATGTACTCCCAGATTCCATCGCTGCTCAGTTCACTCACATGAAAAATAGGAGCAAGGAAAGGCGACACCAACACCAACAGGGCGAGGAGATGCGCGGAGGCAAGGGGGGTCTCCCTGGTGGTGTGGTCCCCCCCTCTCGCTCGAGACATCCCGAGTCTCCCGCTCGGGGAAGCATTGTGGACCTCCTCGCTGGAGGTGGGCCCCCTGGTGGTGTTGGTGTCGCTTCTCCTCCCTCCGAAAAAAACAGCGGATGCTGGTGAAACGCACCGAACCGAATCGCCATCGGAACCGCGGCCCTCGCCCCCCGCCCGTGCTGGGGGGGCGAGGACCGGCGGCGCGCCGCGGGGAGCAGCGGGAGAGGGGGCAGCCCTCATCCAGAGGGCGGCGGGGCCTCGGAGAGGGCCCTGGCAGGCTGCTCGGGAGGCCGGGGGCCTTCGGAGCCAGCGGATTTTTTTTTTTTTGTTGTTTTTTCTGCGCCACGGCAATGCGCAGAAGAAATCAGAAAACGGTGCCGGCGCGCGCGCGCTCCCCCCACGCAGACCAGCCCCGCCTTCCCCCCGTGGGCGCGAAGCCGAGGGCAGGCGCGTGAGGCCTCTGGCTGGCCTCCCCGCCCCCCTTCCCCCTGCCCTGGAGCCCGAGCCGCTGCCGTTTGAGGGGGGCGGTCCCCGTTGGAGCACGAGCTCCTCGACGCACCTGCTGGTCTCCTGACCACGGCAGAGGCGAAACACGGCCCCAAGACGGCCCAACAGTGTCCCTACAGACCACTGAAAGCCGCGATGTGTACGGCTCTGACGGGCCGATGCCTACAGATGAACCCCCCCTCCTAGCTCGATGCTGTCCAAGATTGCGCCAATGCTCCGAAGCAGGTCCCGTGAAGGCCTCAGGACAGCTCCGAAGGCTTCCGAGATGGCTACAATCGGATTGTAGCATGGCTTGAAGAGCCTTCCACAACTCCTTTCACGAGGCTCTTTCGCGAAAACCTGCGACGGCGTTCATGGCCGTCTCCTGCTGTCGCCGTCCACCTCCTCCTACTACTCCTCCTACTACTACTCATAACTGTCGTCGTCGGCTGCCCAAAACGGCCTTTCCAAACTTTCTCTCTCTCTCTCTCTCACTCTCTCCCCTCTGTCAACCCAACCTTCCACTTCCAACTTCCATTCAGCCTAGGACCGCGATGTGCATCCTCCTGCTCCTCGCCCTGGTCTCCGTCTGCTCCACTCCCCGATTGCCCTCTTCGCCTCAACTACCTCTTTCCCTGGGCGCGCGTAAGCCTCTTGCAGATCCCTCTGCAGCTTACATATTACCTACTCGCGCTCTCCCTCTCCTAGCTGGCGTAGTATTGGATTGGAGGCGGAGGTCCCCGAAACGAGGCTCGATGTCCCCGGCTTGATGTTATCGCTCCGCTTGACCAGCCAGAATGCCAATCGCAGGCGACGATCAGAGCCAGATCCCGCGCCGACCACGATCCCCTGCCGCGTCGAAGCCACGGGCGCGAAACCACAGCCCGCCCGGCGCAACCTGCCAGATCTGCAGTCGTCGGGCTACATACCATAAGGAACGTCAAAGACGATCGAAGGGGCCTTTCTGGCCACGGCGAGCCTCGGTCACCAGAAGCCCGACGTAGACCTGAGGAACGGCCCGAAAACCACAGCCACTCCTGAGCCCCAAGCGGTGATTCTTTCAGCGTCTTGACTCTACTGAAGCGCTCGTCCTGCCTTTCCCTTCTCCTGCTCTCCCTGCCCTCCCCTTCTCCCCATCCTCGCTGGCACGCCCCCGCGCGGGCGCCGCAGCGTACGCAGCACTGCTCAAGTCCGTGGTCCTGCACCGAGGGGTAGATGCGAACCAAGTGCGGAGAGGGGAGGGGGCAGGAAGGAATAGGAGGAGGAACAGGGTGGGAACGACGCAGGGGAGGACGGCGAGGACACATCTGAACGGTCGGACACACACACACACAATACAGTAGGGGCATGAAGCGCGGCTAATTCCACCCGATTCCCATAAGAAGCAGCGCTGGACATGCGCATCGCGCAACGATCCTATGAACCATGTCGACGGATATGTCAGTATCGTGCGCGTGGGATGAACCGCGCACGCTGTCCCATTCGAGCCCCCCTAGACTAAGTGCGCGCTGCCCCAATCGAGATTGCTGCCTCCTCCCCTAAACAATCCCTCCTCTCCCCATATTCTGACTACTACCTCCCATACCTTATCCTCCATCGCACTATTTCATCCACCATCCTCCTCCGCCGTCCGTCCCTCGGGTTCGTCATCCGCTCTCTTTTTTTCCACAAGTACGAGAAAAAGAAGTTCAGGGGAGGGCAGGGGGGTGCAGCAGGACGCAATAGGGAGTCCAGTAGGGAGGAGGAAGAGGAGGAGGAGGAAGAGAAGCGGGGAGAGGTAGAGGGGAAAGGAGGATGACCTCCCGCAACCTTCTTATCCCCATCCTCGCCAGAGACCAAAAATTGCCAAAGCCTTGTCTCGCGATTTGCTTCCCGACGCGAGGGGGTCTGGGCCCGGCGCTCAAGAACTTTCCCCGAGACCTGTCCCAGTGCGCACTCCAGAAAGAACTTCGAGGGGAATCCAGCCGTGGCCACGAGGAGACTACCCAAGAGGAACCGAAAGCAGCCAAAAGACACCTCTAACCTCGATCCTCCAGCCTTCCTCGAGCCTCCATCCTCAAGCCCTCTTCCTCCTCGAGGGTGCGCGGCGTGGACCGATGCATGTGCGCGGACGAAGGGGGTCCAGGGGACGTCTTGAGATATGCAGTAGGGAGACTTGTCTCTCCCATCCTCTCGCCTTCTCCTCCTCCTCCTCCTCCTCCTCCTCCTCCTCCTCCTCCTCCTCCTCTCCCCATTGCCCTGTTTAGCAGGCGCATTGGCAATGATTGCTTGTAATCACACTTTTTCTTGCCTACGCGACGGACGGCGTACGGCTAGTGCATTGCAGTGACATCTGGGAGACGTCATGGTTTACCGTGGCCGCCAGGCCCCAAGGGGCCCGGCGCTCCCTGACAATTCCGCCTCGCGTCTTCGGCGAACGACGACTGCCACCGCGCCCACCAAGCCCCAAGGGGCTCGGTGCTCCCTGGGGATCCCGCCTCGCGTTCTAGGGTGCTGATCGCTCGGATCACAATGCATGTTTGAGGGGAAACACCTCGAACATTGACCTGGAATGGGCGATACATCGTCGATAGGTCGGCGATAGTCCCCGATAGCGAATCCGAAGATTCTCGATGGGGGGTGGGCAATCGGGCCCCTGTCGGCGATCCAAAGGAGATTGCGATGTATCCCTCTTGAGCCTGCGTACTCCGCCCATGATCTTCGTCGCCTGGTTTTCGGCTCCTCACACCGGTCTCTGGCGGCAATTCGGGACGATCCCGGCACTCTGGGAACGCCCTCGGCGAGGCGCAGCTGCTGTAAGGCACCCCGATGCTCGCAAACCGACAAAAACCGCCAACAGAAAATTTAAAAAGCCTCGAACCTCGAACCAGAAAGTTTGTCCACAAAACCTTTCGTCCCTAGACCTCTCCCAGGGTGCGTTTTGACTAAAATCGCAAGGAGAATCCAGCCGTGGCTACGAGAGCTTTCCACGAAAAGCAACGGGATCGGTACTACCATCTCCTCCTCTGAGACCCGTGGCGCTGCCCCTGAATCGTACTTTCTTCGACCCTCCCTGTGTTCGGGTCCCAGAGACCGTGTGGTGAAGGACCGCGTGGTGACCTCGGAATCCTCAATGACCTCACCGCACAGTCCGTCACCGCTTGGTTTTGGGACATCGGAAGCCCCCGTCACCCAAGACGTCCTCGGAGAACGACCCGAGTCACAAACCCGTGAGGTGACCCCGAATCACCACTGACTCACCACTCGGCGTGGTCACCACACCGTTTGGGGGCCCTCGATGGTCGTCACCCGCCACGTTGCCAAAAACTGCAACGTCGCGAGAAGTCACGACTCGAGGCCCTGCTGCACTTTCGAGCCAGATCGATGTGTGAGGGTCCTGAGGCCCGAGGCTGGAGAAAATAATCGCCGCTATGACAAAATTACAACGTCCCGATCGCAGCTCCAATCGTCGCTCCTCGAACCCTTCTTTACATCCGCGAGAACGCCCGTGATCGCCTCCCCTCTCCCCCCCTCTGGTCACGTCACGATTCGCGACGCTGCCGTCTGGAAATTTGCCATTTTCAGGCAACGGTGTCGGCGCGAATCGTGACATGATCCGCCACCTCCCACCCCCCGCGGTCACGCCCACTGTCGCCATGGGATGAATAATATCTCCTCCCTTGGCCGCCCCCGAGAGGGGCCGCCAGACCAGAGCAGCGGTGAAAAGGGCCAGGTATTGGGGGCTCCCGACTCTCGAGCTCGGTGTCTGTTCGTGTAGCCTTCGTGACCCCTGGAGAGGTCCAATTTGGGCCTGATTTGGGCCGGAGTTTGGAGCACATGTGGGACCGACTGGATTTGGACCAGATTCGCCCCTTCACAAGGGAGACGAGCAGACCGAAGAGGGGGAGGAGCAACAGGCAGTGCGAGAAGGACCAGGAAGGGCCAAGAAGGAAAAAACCATTTTGATGTAGCCGCCAAAGGCTCCCATGAACAGACATCGAAGAAGCAGATGCCTTCTCGATAGAGTGCGAGTAGATGGGGTTGAGGGATCGCGCCGCACCGCCGATGCATCGGTGACCTCCGTGGTGCATCGGCGACGCCAGCGCGGAGAAACTCAGGCGCCCTATCGAGCCACATCGGCGATGCATCGCCGACGCATCTGCGATGCGGCGCGGTCCTCCGACCCCATCTTCCTCGAACCCATCTTTCGTCATCGGGGGCGCCGCCGCCGAGGCCCCTGATGGTGAAGCTGATGGTGATGATCATGAGGGGCAGGACTAGGAGGGGCAGGACAAGTTTAATTGCCAGCGGAGAGCTGAGGGGAGGGGAGACCCTCTGAATTTACTTCGAAGCCGTCTGGGAGGCCCACAACCGGACCTGGGACACAAGAACATCCTTCAGACCCTGCGCCGGCCAAATCACAGAGAACATCCAAGGGTACCCTCCCTCAGGATGCTCGGAGAGCATCCCGCAAACACGAAGAACATCCAAGGGCATCCTCCCCGAAGCGACCCTGATCTTACACCTCGGTTCGACAGTAGAGAACTGGAGGGCGGGGGCACCCAAAGGTACCGATACCGCTGCTCCCCAGACCTCTCCCAGGGTGCGATCTGACCATGATTTCGAGGCGAATCCATCGGCGGCGACGAGCGCCCTCAAGCATGCCCCAAGATGGGGAGAACAGGCGAAGGGAAGCGGTATGGGCCAGGGCACCTCACCCTCCTCTGATCTGAGGTTACTTCGAACCCAGCTGGGAGGCCCAAAGACTTACCGTCGCTCGGACGTCCATTTCCCGTGCACCTTTCGGTTTCGCGCGTGTGTGTTTTTTTTTGCTCGATGGTCCAGGATGGTCCTCGATGGTTCTCGCCGAGAAAAAAGGCACACGTCCGAGCGATGTCAAGGGCCACGTAGCCAAGTCTGCGAGGCCAGGTCCGTGCTCTTCTTGGGCGAAGGATTGCAAAAAAAAACAGGATTGCAAAAAAACCTTCGTTGAACGAAGGATTGCAAAAAAACCCTTCGTGCAGGTTTTGTTGCAATCCTTCGTTGAAGCTGCTCTCCAGGCTGCATCTTCGACCAAAAGCCGCACTGGTCTTCGGCAGGGGCCCAGGCTCCCCGGTGGCGCCGGACCCCCGTGGCCGTCGTCAAGGCCTCCTCCGCTTTCCCCAAACCCGTGGCCTGCTCACCACGTCCGAGCGATGCCCAGGAGAGCATCCGAGGGGGCTCCCGTCCTCGGGGGCGCCGCCGCCGGGGAGGGGACGAAGGGAGCGATGCCCAGGAGAGCATCCGAGGGGGCTCCCGTCCTCGGGGGCGCCGCCGCCGGGGAGGGGACGAAGGCGGTCGGCCCGCACGCGGCGAGGGCGAGGGCGGCGAGCACCTGCGGCGGCTTCCCCCCCGCTCGCGGTGCGGGGGCGGCAGCGGCGAGGGCCACACGCACGAGTGGACACAAATAACAGGATTCCCCATCTGCTCATGTACTTGCTGGGTTTTCGTCTTCCCCCCCACCTCCCGTATTTTCCCATATTTTCTCGGGAGTCGACGATGAATTGTGTCTGTGTGTTTCTTTCCCTCCTGAGGACGGCAGCGGCGATGGCCAGCGGGTGCACAGGTGCGAGGAGGTCCAGCCCCAGGACCCCCTCGCGTCATGCAAGACGGAGCCAGGACCAGGATCAAACTGGGCGAGGATGAGTCGAATTTAATCGAGAATCTCGCAGATGCAGCAGCTCTGGAGGATGTCTCGGACGCCGCGGCTTTCTCGGATCGTTCCAGAACGCTATGAGAGCGTTCCCGAACACTCTTGCACGGGCCCGTCCAATCCAGACCCCCTCGCATCATGAAACCAATTACACCTGAGAAAACCCAATCAGTGGATGATTTGAAAACTGATCCTATGGATCTTGAGATCGATTGTGAGATCGATAATGAGCTCGATAGTGGGATCGATAGTGAGGACGATTGTAAGATCGATCGTGAGACCGAGAGTGAAATCGATTCAATGAGAGCGATAGTGAGATTGATCGCGAGATTGCTCATGCGATCTCTAGTGAGATCGCTTGTGAGATTCCCCTATCAGTGCTTGCACTGAAGGGGTCCTAGCGGAAATTGAAGGATTTGGCGAAAATTCCCCGCCGATTCTGGTCGCAACCTGGGTTCCAGGGTTCCAAGACTCTCGGTTCAGGGTTCCCAGGTTCCCGGTTCCGGGTTCCAGGCCGATTTCGGAGGGCGGCGAGGTTCCCGGGTTCCCGGGTTCCTGGTCGATCTTCTTATCGATCGGTCTCACCATCGATCTCATTACCGACTTCTCGATCCATCGATCTCACAGTCGATCTCACTATCAATATCACAAGCGATCTCACTAGAGATCGCATGAGCGATCTCGCGATCAACGTCACTATCGATATCATTGAATTGATTTCGCTCTCGGTCTCACGGTGGACCTCACAATCGTTCTCACTATCGACTCCACTATCGATTTCATTATCGATCTCGCAATCGATCTCAAGATCAATAGTATCAATTTTCAAATCATCCACTGATTGGGTTTTCTCAGGTGTGTTTGATAGTGATATTGATAGTGTTATCGATTGTGAGATCGATGGATCGAGAAGTCGGTAATGAGATCGATGGTGCGTTTCCCTGAAAGGGATCCCTGTTCCTTCACCTCCTCCTCCTCTTCTTCCTCCTCTTTCTCCTCCTCCTCCTCCCTGTCTTCCCCGCTCTTCGGTGTGTCGCTCCTTGTGTTCCTTCACCTACTTCACCTCATTTCCTCCTCCCGAGCACTCTGCATCCTGCGCTCCCCTTCCCTCCTCGTCCTCAGCATCCCCCCCGAACCATAACAATGTTCCTCCTCCTCCTCTTTCCCCGCATGTTCCCCCTCTTCGTCCTCCTGACCTTCCTCCCCGTCCTCCTACTCCTCCTCCTCCTCTTTCCCCGCATGTTCCCCCTCTTCGTCCTCCTGACCTTCCTCCCCGTCCTCCTACTCCTCCTCCTCCTCCTGCTCCTCCTCCTCCTTCTCCTGCTCCTCCTCCTCCTCCTCCTCCTCCTCCTCCTCCTCCTCCTCCTCCTCCTCCTCCTCCTCCTCCTCCTCCTCCTCCTCCTCCTCCTCCTCCTCCTCCTCCCTCCTCCTCCTCCTCCTCCTCGAGGAGGAGCTTGTAGGCCGAGGCCCCGAGGTGGAGGTCTACACCAAAGCCAGGAGAAGGCCCAGAGGGAAGTTCCAGTGGGGGGGCGCTGTATGTGATGCAAGCGGTTCTTTTTCAAAACTGGGGGGCTCTCGTCTGATGGGTGCCTGTTTGAAAGGCCTCTGGAAGAGGATCCCAGAAGGAGGCGGCTTGTAGACCGAGGCCCCGAGGTGGAGGTCCACACCAGCACAAGGAGAATGCCCAGAGGGGGGTCCCATGGGGAGGCGCAGTATTTGATGCAAGCGGTCCTGTTTGAAAACGGTGCTCTCGTCTGAGGGGTGCCTCTGGAGGAGGATCCCAGAGGGAGGCGGCTTGTAGGCCGAGGCCCCGAGGTGGAGGTCCACACCAGCACCAGGAGGGGGACCTATCCGCCCTAACCACAGATTGTTCCTTTTTTTCGAAATCAGGTTCTCACCGAATCTCGCCGTGCTTCGGCCGTCTTCAAGCTGTCTGCAACCGTTGGGATATGGGTTGTCTACGAGCCGTCGTCGTCGAGAGGGGTGTGCCGAAATGCGCTTTCGGTTGAGCTCCCTGCGAGACCCAGGGCCGCGATCCTCGAGAGGGGTGTGCCGAAAAGAAGCTTCGGTGAAGCTCCATGTTGGGCCAGGGCCAGCAAATCTCCTGTTGATCCCAGGTAACCGCTTCTCTGCTAGACAAGATCCAATGATCTGGAAACCTCGGGGTGAATGCAATCCGGGGAAATTGTGGCGCGAAAGCGGGGGGCCCGAATCAGGAGTTGTGTCTGCCACGGTTTCCCACACAACCCCACAAGCAGACGGACAACGCGATGCCTGCCAGATGCGGCCCAAACAGGCTGGTGGTGGAAGCTGTCCAGAAGACGGGCATGTCCCGTGTTTCCTCGTGCCAGTCCGTGGCACACAAACACTGGGGGGTGCTCCGCCCTGGCCAACATATGGGCGGAGGGGCATCAGGACACGCAAGCGCTGGCACGTAAAGGGTGGAGGAGAAGCGAGGGGAACGACGACGACGACGACGACGACGACGACGACGACGACGACGGCGGAGGCGAGGCTCAGCAGAAGGAACGGGGGAAGGTTGGCGGACACAGCCATGCGGATGGCCTGATGACTGTTCCTTGTATTGTCCTCCTCCTCCTCCTCCTCCTCATCAACATCAACATCATCATCCTCATCATGAACATCATGACCATCATCATCATCATCATCATCATCATCATCATCATCATCATCATCATCAAAATCATCAAATCATCATCATCATCATCATCATCATCATCATCATCATCATCATCATCATCATCATCATCATCATCATCATCATCATCATCATCATCATCATCATCATCATCATCATCATCATCATCATCATCATCATCATCATTCACCATCAGCATCATAATCCCTCTCCCCTCCACCCCCGTTCCTTGTCTTGCGCAGGCTCCAAAGCCAAAAGCGTCAGCCTCCTCCTGCTCTTGCTGCTCCTCCTCTTCCTCGAACTCCACCTCCTCCCATGGACACGGAAAACGGCACCACCAACGCGGGGAACTCGAATTGGTCCTCCTGGTGGGGGGGTCCTCCTTCCCTCTTGCTCGAGACCCGTAAGATCTCCGGCGCGCAGCAGAGCATCATCGTGGAACTCCTCCCTCAAGGTGTTTTCCCCTGGTGGTGGTGTTGCTGTGTTTCCTCCCTCTCCTGGGGGTCGTTTTTCCCTGAACTCTGGCAAGTATACTTGCATGGGGGGGCCCGACGGGGGTGTGGCGAGGCCGGAGAGAGAATGTGGACTTCACGCGAGCCGGGACTCACTTGCATGCCTTTTCGGCCCAGGGTTGCTTGAAAATGCAATAGGGAGGCAGGGAGTGGGGGAATGCCATGCAAGTAAACTTGCCTGGGTCCAAAGAAACGCGCCCTCCGTTTCCCCCGCCCCCCGGCACCAGGGCGGGCAGGGCCGACCGAGAACGCATGGCGGCCATCGGGCGGCGGCGGGCTTGGGGGGGGGGGCGGGGACAACTAGGTCGCCTGGCAGGAGCGGGGCGCCTGCGAAACCGTCGCCCAGGCAACGAGGAGGAGGCGGAGGAAGAGGAGGGGGAGGACGAAGAGGAGGACGAGGAGACGGAGAAAGGGCCATGGAGATATGGAACACAGAGGAACGAGCCCGCGCGAGAGGACTGCGTCACGCGAGAATGCTGCCTCGTCGCAAAACGGGCCGCCCTCCGCCCCCACACGGGGAGAACGCCCTCCTCACGCACAGGGGAGGCCGCTCGCTCACCGGCGCCGCGACTCGCTACTCATACGTGATGGCGGTGGTGCGTCGGGGGACGGTCGGTTCACCTCCTCACTCTGAGGTTCTTCCCGACTATCATCCCCTACCAAGTCATGTGAGACGAGCACCTCTGTTGGTACCCCAGGGCGAAGAGGCACGAAGGCCAGATGGGACTTGTGGACCACACGGCCCCCCCACTCCACCAAATGCACCATCCCCGCGCCTGGAAGCTCAAGGTTGTTCCAGCGTCACGGGCGTAGCTGAGCGCCACGGCCCAGGCAAGGTGCCGCGGGGCGGGACCCCAAAAGACGAGACAGCATGCTGAAACCAACCCGTGGAGCGCAAATAGCATTGTCAATATCCCCGCGGCGTAGGGCCGAGCACTAGGATACGGTGACCAGTAGAGCAATAACTGCCCTCCCGCTGCGGGGAGGAGCAGGACAAGGAAGAGGAGGGATACAAGACGAGCAGGAGGTGGAGGAGGAGAGGTTGAGAGGGAGGAGCAGGTGGAGAGGTGGGCGAGCGAGGTTAAGCGCAGGAGGCGCTGGGCGAGCGAAGAGGCGCAAAAGAAACCAATGTCCCCCCATTCTTGGCGCATTATTCATCATCCGTTCCGCGTTCCATCTTTTGGATGTGGGAGTGAACCCGCAACACCTGGCTGAGCGCGGTGCTATCTATTTGAGGGCTCATGAATGCCTCCAAAAAACAAAACGAGCCGAAAGAACACGCGACAGTACTGTAAGGGTTCGCTCGCGCCCAACTGCACTACTTTGGCGTTACCTCTCAGACAGCCCCCAAAGAACTCCGCTAAGCAATCGCGTGTACGCACCACTGTGCCACGCTGACGTGGCGGCGAGGCCTGCCGTTTCCAGCTGAAGAGATACTCCAGCCCAACTGGGGGCACGCGCCTCCGACGGCGGCAAAGCTGAGGCCGCCTGGTTGAAGCCACAATCAATGACGTCGGGCTGTGCGCGAGAGTAAATACATGATGTTCGGGCTCAGGCGGGCTGCGGCGGGGCGCAAAACCAAATCGAACCGCACCACCGCGGCGCCGCTGAGAACAGCTGGCGCCCGGCCGCTGGCTGAAAAACCGACACGCGCGGTGCGGACGGCACCGCTTCAGAGGGGGGCAGCAGCCTCTCTGCTGCAGTGTGGTAGCTGGGCCAAAACTGTTACAGACAGGCAGGAGGCAGTGAGGGGGGCGGCAGGGATGAGTGGCAGAGGTCAGAGACTCCGCCGCCGCTGCTGGCTCCCCTTCGCAGCTGCCGCCTCGGCTGCCGCCGCCGCTTCCGCGCCGATGGAGGCCATGAAATAGTTGTATACTTCACTTTCAAAAAAAAACGCCCTTTTCCACGGCGGCGACCCTGCCGCTCGCTGATCATGAGCCGCTGAGTGAATATGTTGGGAGATCGGGCTGGCGTCCAGCATTGGCCCCACGCAGTGAGAAAGGTCGCCACTGCGACCATGGTGGGACGGAGGCCCGATGAGCGAACGAAGCCAAAGCCAGACAACGAAGGAACGAAACCAACGAAACCTCGCGTCGCGAGCAGCGCACGCTCGCAACCGCAATGCAGCGGCCAATGCTCTCACTGCACTGCTCCTGCACAAGACCGCTTGCCCTTGGGACACGGCACCGGTTCCGCACGCTCAACAATCTCAAATGCACTGCGCTGCTCTGTGGAGGTTTGCTCCAGGTCAGACGCGGTGCGTCTTCTGTAAGTACTGCGTGTGCTCATCCATGGCGCGGTCGTGCGCCACCCACTGGCGCGCGTGACCAAACAAACATGTCGAGACCCGCGGTGTCTATTCACCAACCATCGGGAGTAGGTTCCGTCATTTGTTCACCACAAGCTGTCATGTACTGTTTTGTTATATTCCAGGCGACATGCCGAGGCAGTCGCATATCAATTCTAGCGCGGTGCCCTGCATATGGAGCGAAGCCCCATCTGGCCGCCATTTCGGCCAAGATGCCCGAGATTCGCGGCGGGACAGCCCGAGGAAGGGCCCGAGGAACCTCGAGCCCCTTCCGAAAAAAGACCTGCAGTGGGTACCCAAGGAGGGGACCAGAGGAACGATCCCAACGGTCTCGAACCTGAGGTTTCGACGGGATGGTCTGGGTCATCCGCGGATTCATGCCTCGACGGCAACCTGGACGAGGACGAGACGAACAGTGAGGGATCAGGGAAGGGAACGACAACGGTGACCATGATCAAGGCTGGGCGCGGAAACGCCCGCGCCGATCTTGGTCACCGTGTCAATATTGGTCATCACCAATTCGTGGATCATTCCCGTGGATCGGCGACAGCCCGTATGCAACGTGACCCAGATCGGCGTCGACAAGATTCAGCGCCGTCCTGGGCATGGTCACGGTGCTTCTTCGCCCGAACGAGGCGAGGGAGAGAAGGGAGAGGGCGGGAGCAGGACGAGATTTCCTGTCCTGTGAGCCCCGCCCAGGCGGAAACCCTCCGGGATCGCTGCGGCGGACAGCGAGGCCTCGAGACCACACGCCTCGTTGGGTGCGTCGCAGCGCGCCGGGCCCAGGGGTTCCCGCGCGGGAGTGCCGCGGCAGGGAAGGGAGGCGGCCGCGCCGCGCTCGGGAGAGGGGCCCGTCCTCCACCGCCTCCTCCTCCTCCTCCTCCTCCTCCTCCTCCTCCTCCCTCCTCGATCCTCCCCTCCCTCGCCCTCTCTCCGCCCTGGGCGGCGCACCCAAACCACCTCCGCCACCGTCAGGGACAGGGCTACCCAAACTCTTGCATCAGCTTGGGCGGGAGGGCGCACGCAAGGCTGAGCAGCGCAACGGGAGGAGGAGGAGGAGGAGGAGGAGGAGGAGGAGGAGGAGGAGGAGGAGGAGAAGGAGGAGGAGGGGGGAAGGAGGACGAGGACGGGGAAGAGGCGGCAGCGGCCGCTTCTGAGCAGCGGCCTTTGCCGCGGCTGCTGCCGACGAGACTAGCCATATTGCTCTTACACAACGATAGCATGGAGAAAAAGGAGGGGGGAAACGCGACAATCAGTAGGCGGGTCAGGGCAAGAGGTTCTCCCCGAGGACGAGGAGAAGGGGCGGGTCGTTGCGGGACGTGGGGCGAGACGCAGGAGGGCATACAAGTGCTATGCCCCCCACCTGAAGGCGCACGTCGGAGTCCGAACGGGACATGTAGCACAAACATGTCTTGGAACATCGAGACCCAGGCGGTGCGGGCAGAAAGCGGCGACCATCGACCACCTACTGTCAGATTTCAGAGCGCCCGCGTCGCCTTTGGAGGGACCGACGCACACATAGAAGAAGCATGGCTCAAAGATGCTATGGGTGACCCAAGAGAGGCGCCCAAGAATCCCCAAGAGGCCGAAAAGAGGCCTTATACGCCCCCCCAAACGCTTCAAATTACCTCCAAGAGGCTCAACCAGGCCTCCTAACAGCTCTCAAAACACACACACACACACACAAAAGCCCACACGTAACGCCCAAGAAGCCCACGACTCCTCAACCGTTGACTCCCCACTTCTGGTCGGCGGAATGGCGTCTCTTGAATATGAGTATGGTCGGGGGATGCCGTGAGTGGGGGGCCAGCGAATCAGCTGCATACAGATGGTTTTCGCGGCGCCTCAGGCGGCCGTGTATATTCCAGAGAAAGACGCTGGGCGGCGGAGCCGAAGCCAGCCACGCGCAGCAACTTCTGCGACCCCCCGGTCTCACTCCCCACGTTTCGTCCGATCCGACAGTCGCGCAAATCGCGGCCCCCCAGTGACCTGCGAGTTCTCGGTGGGGTCCGCGTGACACCCCACTCCGCTGGGCCTCCGAGGAGCCCACGCAAGTAGCGACAGATCCGCAGGTCGCAGCCCCCCAGGGACCCGCGAGGTCTCGAACCACCAGTGCGGAAAGTGCCAGAGCCTCGTGAGACCAGATGATTTAGGCCTCAGCTTCGAGATGCTGCAGTGCGTGCGTGCGTGTGCGTGTGCGTGTGCGTGTGCGTGTGCGTGTGCGTGTGTGTGTGTGTGTGTGTGTGTGTGTGTGTGTGTGTGTGTGTGTGTGTGTGTGTGTGTGTGTGTGTGTGTGTGTGTGTGTGTGTGTGTGCGTGTGCGTGTGCGTATGTGCGTGTGCGTGTGCGTGTGCGTGTGCGTATGTGCGTGCGTGCTTGCGTGTGTGTGTGTGTGTGTGTGTAAGTGTGTGTCTGTGTGTGTGTTCGTGTGTGTGTGGAGACATGCACGCGAGACATATAAAACCATGCAGGCCGAGGAGGCGAGGTGCGAGGAAGCAGACCCCGCGCAGAGCAGGAGCCAGAGGAGCGGGAACAGTGGCAGGAGGAGCGAGAGGCGTGGGGAGAAGTCGCATCGGATGTCCGAGCCGAGCCGCCAGTGATGTGCCCCGCCCCCCCAAGACGAAGCCAGGACGAGGATAAATCGGGAGAGGATAAATCGAGAATATTTGACATCCGCTGGCTTTGGAAGATGTATCGGGCGTACGCGACCTTCTCGGAGCGTTCCAGACCACTTTGAAAGATTTCCGGAACGCTCGAAACGGTTTCATCGTCGTCCTAGTCCCGTCCCCGTACAAGAACTGATGCCTGCCCATCCTCGGGGAAACACATACGATCCACATCCACAGCGTCGCGTTCCGCTCTCCTCGGGCGCGACCTCCTGGACGCGGGGCGGACTTGCGCGGCATCCTCGCAAGCAAAATGTGTCCATGGGATCGCGCTTCCATGGGATCGGGCC